TAAAATTGTCCAGTCCCACAGTGTCTTCATGGTCATCTGACACTTACTTGAAAGACACTTGCCACAGATCTAGTACTGCGAGCATAGTGAGATTGATTGAGTGAAGCTGGTTTCTCATTCTTTTCTTGGCCTGAAGAAATTATTTGTTCCATGGCTTTGGAATAATTTCCATTCTGCAAGACACAAAGAAAAAAAAACTCTTTTAATTGCCATTTGATACACAATGATTGACAAAATATTGAAAAATAAATAAATAAATAAAAAAATTTAAAAAAAAAAATATATATATATATGGCTTATTATATGGCTTATTTCATGGCTTATTTTTTTTCTACAGTGAAGGCTTTTTTTTTTATTTTCTGTCATTTAATAATATTAACACAATTCAAAATTATGTCCGTCATTCTGGCAGATAAAAAAAAAAAAGTATGAACTATTGTTTTATTCTGCACATTGCAAACCTTGCTACAGTAAAGGATGCTAATAGGGATTAGAAGTCAAGAATCTGCATTATTTTGACAAATATACACCATTAACTAGAATACTTTATGATCAGTTGTATGCCTGAGATACTCTTTTTGTCTTGTACCACTAAAATGAATTTAGCAGGGCTCACTCCTGTCTGTGTGGAGGGAGATCTCTAGCTTTGGGCTCTTGACTCTCTCTGGGGTCCTGCAGCACAAAATCCACTACATGAAGAACAGAAGACAACAACACACACAATACTTGGACATGGCATTTACTGTAGACAGTAGCATAGAGACAGTAAGAATGCTGTTAAAATAAATGTAAAAAGGGCTTATTTCATTAATTAACAGTTAAAAATAGTTTATTAAAAATGACAATAAGAATAACAATTTTGTAGGTACAAGCACCTAACCTAAACATCAGATCTTTTCATAGGCATTGGGTGAAAAAAGGTCCTTCAAGATCTCTGTACTTTAGACCACCAAAATACAGTGCCCTCCACTATTATTGGCACCCTTGGTAAATATGAGCAAAGGTGGCTGTGAAAATAAATCTGCATCGTTTATCCTTTTGATCTTTCAATTAAAAAATCCACAAAATTCTAACCTATCATTGAAGTAAAACAATGGAAAGTGGGAGAAAAATAAATGTTTTTCTCTAGTTCACGTTGGCTACAATTATTGGCACCCAATTATTGCAACGTCCTTTTCCCACGATAACACCTCTGAGTTTTCTCCTATAATGCCTGATGAGTTTGGAGAATACCTGACAGAGACAATTCCTGCATGCAGAATCACTACAGACGCTTCAGATTCCCAGCTCCATGTTGGTGCTTCTTCTCTTCAGTTCACCACACTCATTTTCTATAGGGTTTAGGTCAGGCAGCTGGGACAGCCATGGCAGAAGCTTCATTTTGTGCTCTGTGACACATTCTTGTGTTGATTTTGATGTTTGTTTTGGATCATTGACCTGATGGAAGATCCAACCACGGCCCATTATAAGATTTCTAACAGAGGCAGTCAGGTTTAGTTTTTTTATCTGTTGGTATTTGATAGAATCCATGATGCCATGTATCTGAACAAGATGTCCAGGACCTCTGGCAGAAAAAAAAAGTCCCACAACATTAAAGATCCAGCAGTATATTTAACCGTGGGCATGGAGTACTTTTTATTCCTGTCTGCACCAAACCCATCTGGTGGGTTTGCTGCCAAAAAGCACTTGTTTTAGTTTCATCTGACCATAGAAGCCAGTCCCGTTTGAAGTTCCAGTCGTGAATCACTCTGTGCCTATCCCATTGCGGATGAAATAGTGGTACCTCTAAAAGACAGAAAACAAGATACAATGTTTGTGGCCAAACAGCATAAGGCCATTTTAATACAGGAATGACTACCTTTTATTCTAATACCTCACATCTGAAATGAAATGAAACTGAACTTACATGAACATGCAGATAGAAGGTCGTCGCTTACCAAAATGTCCTTCTCTGCAGAAGAAGGCGATCCTGAAGTGGATGGGGTGCTGTCTTCAGTGATGGACGTAGCAATGGCATCTTCACGGTGCCTGAAATCATATTGTTCTTTTAGTGATTATATGTGACAGGTATAGGAAATTATGATCCGCACTCATGAGAACAATCTTCTTTTTTCTTTTATTTTACATTCATTACTGATGGGAAAAGACACAAACGTTTCGGCTCAAAGCCTTCCTCAGTGTGTGACCTGTCACTATATGTGACAGGTACAAATTGTCATTAAGAACTCATCTTTATGCAAGTCAAACCCACATAATAATGCTGACGAGGGCACTGCGAAACTGCTCATGATCTCTCTTGGGTTGGACACCACCACGATGCCTGTAAGAAAGTCCTGAAATCCCTCCATCTTTGGTCCCCACATGCTGTGGACCTCGATGACGAGTCTGATGCCATTGTACCCCTGCTCCTTGCACATCTCCTTAAGGGAAGTTGGAAGCAGGGCCGTAGATTACGCGGGGGACGCGTAATCTACGCCCCTTTCGGGCAAGTGTGTTCGCATAGAGGTTTTCAAGAGCCAGTGTGAATAAATATAGATTTAAATTCAAAGAGACAGGATAGTCTGTGCATGATCTGATCCTTAGGTTTGCTCTGGTGTTGCTAGTGTATTTTAGGTGGTTGCCATAGTATTCTGGGTGGTTGTTATGATGTTCATAACAGTAGGGCTGGCTAATATGGCGAAAAAAATCCTATCTCTGTATTTTTTGGTTTATATATGTTATATTTATATATATATATATATATATATATATATATAACATTTCTGTCCCCCTCACTTCTGAAATTATGGCTACGCCCTTGGTTGGAAGTATGATGTCACAGATAATATATAGTCTGGGTTGCAAATAGTTCCATGTAATATAGTATATGTTTTTCATAAATCAGAATATATTGTATCTCATACTAGAGAGTAAAGAGCCAAGGGTATCCTCTTAAGATGGTCTATGAAGTCTAAAGCTACGGCTTGCTTCATGCCACCGAGGTTTTGACCAAACCTGAAAGTCAAAAGCCATACTGTTGGTTGAGAAGACATATTTGGATTTGAATTATTATTCCTATTATTAGGAATTTGAGTTAGAAGTTAATAGTGTATATCTCATCTCTCAAAGTGAAAACCATTCTAAGAAAAGTTATTCATGAGAAAGAAAACACATTCTATTCGTCTTAAATAAAGCTTCACTTTTCACTCACCGGCATCTCCATGTTCAGCACTTTTTTTCCCCGTCTTTGCATTGATTATATTGGTCGTTTCACATTTTCTGACATCAGAATCCTGCTGCTCTTTCATCAGTGCATGATGAGCATCTCTCCAGAGGAAGTCCTGCCACTACTAGAGGGAGCGTTTATTTATTTATTTGTTTTTTTTGTTTTTTGGTAGACTCTGAAAACATTTTTCATTGTATTTACATTTTCTTACGTTATTGTGTGCATAATTTAACTAGTTAAACTTTCCAGAATGTTGTTCGTTTTATATTGTGAACGAACATATACTGTGTAATCATAAAACAGAATCTCTAGTGAATTTATTTAAAAAGAAATCATTGTAAAATGTGTATAATCCCAAACATTTATGTACGCCTACTAAAGAATTAAAAACTAATTTAAAATGCAAAACCACAAGAAAGCCTTATGAGCAATTTAATACTTTATTTTCTTCATTCAGAATTCTGATCACTCTTTATTTCCCAAAAGACTAACACACAAACGCTTTCTTACGCATTTCTCTTCACACAGGAATTGTTTTAATATTCTGGTTTATCTTTTCATGTTGTCTGTGTTATCAGCTCTGATTGCGGATGCTATACCTTCTGCACTCATGTTCTGCTGTATCGATAGCCTAATGCTAACGTCGTTAGCGCTCCAGCATCATGCTCGTCTGTACAACATTCCGTTCGTTTCTTAACAGCTAAAACATTTGAAATAGGCAATGCTGCTTTAAACGAGATTTATGCGTGCATATTTTAATAAAGCAGCAGTTTTAATGCGAGTAAGAGAAGCAATCACGAAAGATTAAAGAGAAATGTACAGAAAGGCTTCAGTGCAGCGAATGATGTATGTCAGGATGGCCGAGTGGTCTATGGCGCCAGACTCAAGGTTCAAACCTTTCTGTGAAGAGGGCTTTCTGGTCTCCGAATGGAGGCGTGGGTTCGAATTCCACTTTTGACAGTACGTTTATATTAATCCTTTAAACATTAGGATTTTTCTTTCTTTTTGGGCATTGCTAGGTTCCAGAGGTTTTTTTTTTCTTTCAACAAATTTAAATAGAACACTTTTTTTCTATTTAAATGCCTGTATTTTATTGTTTTACCCTCGACTCAAACTTTAAATCTTAAACAAGTTTTAAATCCTAAAACAAATATAATTATTAAATAATAATAAATCAAATATTAAATAAAAACAATACTTTTTTTAATATGAAATAATATAAAATGTCAATTCGACCACAGAATGCTATTAAATACATTTGAGATGTGGTGGAAAAGATCCTGTGGTGGAGAATGTTCATGACTTTCAAAAAAATAATAAAATAAAATAAATAAAAATGACAAAAGAGTGTGAAAAGTGTGTTTTTAGGAAAGGTTATTTTCTAAACGTCCACAAGAACAAAAGTGCCCATATTTTACAAGCACCCAATTGCAGAATCAAATGTGACTAAATTGGTATCAGCTAAAAGGGTCTTTTGTGAGAACATTTTGTATTGTCAGGGATTTTAATGTTCAAATTTCAGCTGTGTGTTTTCAGATGTGAGTGATCACATTTTCTGACACCTGAATTAATCCTGTGTAACCATTCAAAATAAGAACATAATAGAGTTTGGCAGGTCTCTGTGTTCACACATTGTAATGCTTGTTACTTAATGGAAATACAATGTACAACATCGAACAATATGAAAAATACATTCAAATGCTTTACAAAATGACAGCATATAAAGCATGTCAGTAAACTAAGAACAGTTCAAGAGCTCTGAACACCTGGATTATTTATACTAATATTATACTTTTTATGTCGCTTTAAAATGCAGCGAGGGACATATAGGAGATTCCATAATGATGTCTTGCTGGAGTTTCTTTCGTTTCTGGCACATTTGGGACATGATTCATCACAGAAGCATGAGATGTGGTCTAAAAAAATCTAAAGTACAAGGCAACTGTCATTTTATGAGATACAGGAATGGCCTTATATCAGCTTTTACTCTCATTGAGTTCTCATCTTACTACTAAATGATTAAGCACTATAACCCAAGGTGGACAAAAACATTGCTTTTAAATGTCGCAAGCCTTTGAGCATAATTATTAACAAAGTGTGTTGGAAATACTTGTAGTATGTTGATGTCTGACCTTGGCAGTGGGTGCAGGTGTCTCTCTGAAAAGGGAAAAGCACTTCCTCCCCGTGACAGAACTCACAGATAAAGCCTTTGGCCTGACACAGCTAAAGAACACAGTAGACACAGGGACTGTTAAACACACTCAAACACTTTCTACAGTGGGTATAGAAAAGAATCACCCCCCTTTAAAATAATCACAGTTTGCTGCTTTGCAGCCTGAAATGAAGACGGACACAGTTTTGGTTTTATCCAGCTGTACATAGTGCAACTAACATCCAAGTGAAAGCGAGGTGTGCTGTGATTGGCCAACTATCCAATGCGTTGTGATTGGCCGAATACCTCAAGCGTGAGACGGAAATGTTACGCCACTCACATACTGTTGATGCCATGTCCCGGCCGGAGCGACGAGACAAAAACATTATGAGAATCAAAGTTACGCCTTCTTTCTTTGCGTGAATATTTGGGCGGCGTTATGCAAATCTTCTCACATCGTGACGTAGACATGTGGGGTGTGTTAGAACGAGCCGTTTTAGGTAGGTGTGGCTGACGCTGAACTTTTATAAAGAATATCTCTTTGGATTTGAGACTTTAGTCCAACCAACTTTACAGATCTTCTTTATGCACCAAGAGCTTGTAACACTCCAAAGAGAAAGGAAAAATTGAAATCGCATCATATGACCCCTTTAAAAGAGCTTTCCTGGAACATTTCAGTCCTTGGTAGTGCAACTGAAGCAAACAATCAACTATGGGAGGCAAGGCACTTTCAAAAGATCTCTTGTATAAAGTTGTGGACAGGCACAAGTCAGGAGATAGATACAAAACAATTTCAAAGGCTTTAACAATGCCTAGAAGCACAGTGAAGTCTATTATTAAGAAGTGGAAGGTATTTGGTACAACACAGACCCTCCCTGGATCAGGACGTCACTCCAAACTGGATGAAAGAGCCAGGAGGAAACTGGTCAGAGAGGCAAGAGGCCTACAGCAACTCTGAAGCAGCTGCAGGAATTTATGACAAAGAGTGGTCATTGTGTGCATGTGACAACAATATCACAAATTCTCCACAAATGTGGCTTGTAGGGGAGGGTTGCAAGAAAAAAGTCACTCCTCAAAAAAGGCCACATGCAGTCATGACTGAGCTTGATGCCAAAACGCACCTTGAACATTCTGAGGCAGATGAGACTAAAATTGAATTATTTGGCCTCGACATCAAACGATATGTCTGGTCAGTAGTTGAAGGAGGAAAAGGTGAATGTCCTTGCATGGCCTAGTCAGAGCCCAGACTTAAACCCCATTGAAAATCTGTGGAATGACTTGAAGACTGCAGTCCACAAACCGTCACCATCAAATTTATTTTTGTATTTTTTTTCTGACATGTTGGTGTTATATCTTTCACTTGGTTGTCATAAGCTGCACAGAGTAAATACAGCTGGATAAAACAAAAACTGTGTCCGTCTTCATTTCAGGCTGCAAAGCAACAAAATGTGATTATTTTAAAGAGGGGTGATTCTTTTCTATACCCACTGTAAGTATACATGAATTATTTTATGACAGTTATTTGTGGGCATCGACATGGAACAATAATATAATAGTATATAACAGTAAGTGCAGCTGTCTGATGGTTTACATTGTTTATTTTAAAACCGCATATATTTTTTCCTCAGTGTTGCACAGATATATATACATATGTGTGTGTAGGCATCTAAATAATAGCTGGACAAACCTCACATATGTCTATGTGAGCGATTGCAGACTGCATCAAGGCTTTCGCTCTGATACAGAGCTGACCCTTTTTTACCCTGATGAGGTCATCCATTGAGAAGAGGTGTAGTTCCTGCATCAGATGAGCAGGAAGCTGTTCAAACTCACCAAGTACTCTGGTTAGAGAAACAGGTGTCAAAAAAGAAACACCTACACACACCATACCCAACTTTCTTAAAGAAACATCATATACTGATAGTTTTAAGGCTATGGCACTGCCAAGAATGTTCATTATGATTTCTCTGTACTGAAAATGGTCAGAAACAAGAGGGCTAGTAAATCATCCAGTTGATAGTCTGCATGTGCTCAGAAGCTTTTTGATGGATATTAGTTGCTCCTGTAGTTCCTACAGCAAATGATAACACAATTAATATCATGCTGCCTGATTGACCTGATATCAGTAAAAGACATACAGACACTCTAGCTCATGAAGGACAAAAAACATAAGAGCACTTAGACAAATTGAGAACATTGTATTTGTATTTTCAAATAGTAAATAGCTATTTAATATCTGATTTCATTTAATCTTTTGCTGTTTTTAGTATATATATATATATATATATATAACATTATATACAATACCAAAATTGATCAAAAGTGACACTAAAGACATTTATAATGTTACAAAAGATTTCTATTTAAAATTAATACTGTTCTACTCATAAAAGAATCTTGAAAATAAATGTAGCATGGTTTCTACAAAATAATAACAATAAATGTTTCTTGAACAGCATATTAGAATAAATTTGAAGGATCACTTTGTGACACTGAAGACTGAAGTAATGATGCTGAAAATTCAGTTTTGCTATCACAGGAATACATTTAATTAAATACATAAAATTAAAGTTATTTTACATTGTAAATAGTAAATATACTATTTTTACTGCATTTTGATCAAATATATGCAGTCTTGGTGAGCATTAAAAGCAAATATTCTTTCAAAAACATTCAAAAATCTTAGAGACCCCAAACTTAGTGTAATAAAAAAAATAACCATTTATACATAGCTCCTAACAAATGTGTGTGTTTATGCATAACCACTCTCACTTCCTGCAGAGCTGAGTTGAAGCATATCCAATTAGAATTTATAGTAGATTTAACAATCAAGCAACAATAGTTAACAACTGTATCTTAATGATTATTATTCTGTGATCGATATTACTTTTATTATATAGTATTGCACTAAGGCAAATGAAACACTCACTCTGAAACGCTGTAGCTCTTTGGCCTGACTGTAGAGGTTCTTGGCCACACTTGTAAGTTTAAAGAGCGGTTGCTGCCATATAGAGTTCAGTAAATGTGTTGAGAAATGGCAGACTGGATACTGTGTAAAATCCCAGTTATTCAGAACCCGACCTGGAATCACTGATTCCAAACCACCGTGGCAGCCATCACAAAAATATACAGAGTACACTTTCATGACTATTCTTAATACACTTAAATACAATTTTTAAAAAGTGTGCTTTATAATAATGTCAAATGAAAAATTTTGCTTTAAAGAGAATTGAAATCATGTTTTAATAATCTTTTGTTGTGCTTTAAAGATGTACACTTATTTTGATGCATTAACAAACAAAAAGCATATGTAAAATACTTGATTTTATTTTTAACTGTAGTGTGTTATTCAATATTCCATTTAGAGTAAATATATTTTAAATGTACTAAACTGCAGCTTCATCGTTACAAATGACTAATTACAAATATATTTAAATAGAAACAACATTAAATATCAGTTTACCATAAATACTTGTTAGTATTTGGCAGTTACATATAAACATGTACTTAAGTCCCACTTAAGTACATACGCATTCTTATTGAATTAAATGTTAATATAAATTTAATATAAATACACTTATAAATATAAATTTAAAGAAAATGTAATTGATTAAAAAAAACATGCAGTTAAGCATACAAAAACATTACATTCAGTTTGCACTTAAGTATATCCTAAAAGTAAATGCTAACGTATATGCTAATGTTTTTCATAAGTGTAACACTGACCAAGAGAGTCAGGCTTTCATCAATGTATAAACTCTGTTAATGTGGACATGGTGGTCTTTCTGACCTGTGTGTTGGTTGGACACAGAAGATGATTTGAAATCTGGGTGGAGCCCAGGTTAATGGTCCTCTCATTCTGGTCTTCTGCACAATCTCTTCAGTTAGACTGATCCTGTTCTCTCCCATAACAGGGACAGAGACCAGGGGAAAAGACAGAAGTGTGTGTTTTTTCAGTTATTAGAAGTGATAAAATAAATATTGTAAAAATGAATGTCCTTAAAAAATGAATGCCCTTAAAAATGTTTAATGTGTGTACAGTGTGTCGCAGATAAAAGGAGATGCGTGTCTGTTTTTGTGGCTGCACCTGTGTGTGCTCATTGCATGAATGTGTGTTTATGCATAACCGTTCCCACTTCCTGCAGAGCAGAATTGAGGTTGTCAGGGTTTTGCAGTAGCTCAGCGGGGAACCACTGCTTCCTGAACTCTGACACCAAATGGTGTACTAAATCTTCAGCAGAGCACTGCATTCTGGAGCTCTGGAGACAACTGCAAATAAAACAATTCTATCTGGAAATTATGCATAAAAAACTAAAAACAATTACATGACTTTGAATGTGCAGAATTCACTGCATACCTCTGAAAAGCCAGGGATTATCTGTTTGAAGATAGTTTGGGGGCGCTGTCATCTAGCAGAGATACAAAGAGAAAGAGAAACAAATACATTTCATATGACCAATGCGATTTTTCTTTGAATTTGCTTCAGAATATGAATAGATTTTCTTTTCAATGTGTAAAATCTACTAACTAGTAAACAATCTGCATGGTGGGGTGGCATTCTTTTGCATTTTGACTATATAAAAATGCATTTATTTTATAATTAGATAATTTAGGTATCAGCTTAAAATAAGTTTTATACTTTGACATGCAATACTTTAATGTAATAACTAACACAAAACACTTTTTGTACAACATTTATTAATCTTGATTAATGTTACTTTCTAAATGCTTTTTTTTTTTTTGCAATGTTAAAATAGTACAATGTTCAAAATAATCAGACTTCCAACAGGACTAAAAATGCAACAGTATTACAGTTATATTAATACTTTTATATTAATAATGAAGTCTTCCGAGTTCATTTTCACTACATTTGATAATTGAGACATGGCACTAGTTGTGTTTATATGAATCAGTTGAGAGTAATATGAGTCAAAGTGTTGCTATGGATGACACTGAAAATGAGAGAATATCTACTAAATGATCAAATATTAATTAACTATAAACAACAGTATATTAATAAGTTAATTATATGCATTACCTAATGTTAACATTTGAACATTATTGTAAAATGCCTATTACTGTACTAAAGTGGATTTCAGCAAAACGCTTGCCAAAAACAAAACTTTAGAAAAGTAAATTACTGCAGAAGTAAACACTTATTAATGATGACCTGTTAATTTTAAAGAGACCAGGTCAGCATTATCTGATTTTTGGTAGGACCACATCACATACGGATGACACAGGACTTTGTTGCAACACAATCTTTGTTACCCTCAAATCCGCTGTCAAAGGAATAGATTGAGTGTGTTTTTGAGGTATTTTGTGTTTCACATCTGTCTTGATGAGGATGTGTGTTTTTTAAATGCTGCAAACACACAACCCATTTCACGGCCTCCAGCATTTCCAGCACCATATCCACAACCACAAAATGAGCATTTTCCTGCACATAAACAACAATAAAATGCACACTTTACTTTGCCAAAATTATAATATGATACATCTAAAACAGGAGCTGGATTTCCCAAATTGTCAACAAAAAGGGATCCTCTGGAGAGTGTTAATAAACTGTAATTTATACAACTTTACATATTTTGTTACCAATAAAACTTGTAATTATATGGTAGTTGTCATTTCTTTTAGGTAATTTTAATTTAAGATTAATTAAATGTAATAAAAAGTACATGAACAATATCTGGTCTTAATATACAGTAATAATTTAAAAGATTTAAATCCACAGACACAGTATGCAAACATTAGGCTTTTAAGGTTAAAAAACTTTGTTTGTTAGTTGACATCAGTAGTATTTTAAGCATACTGTTTACAGGGAATCTCAAATATTTAGGCGTTGTTGGCTAAGGTTTCTTAGTTAATATTGCTAGAAATTCCATGTGAAAATGCTTAAAAAATGGCTTGCAGAAACGATGCACTATTTTTGAAAGTAAATTCAGCAAAATATTTTTTTTTTTTACAGTGTACCTGGTCCAAACTGTAGAGGTCTGTAGCGGAGTGATCAACACGTGACCCACGTTTCTTAGCTTGGTCTGAGCTCCTCTGACCAGTTGCCGGTGGGATGTCAGAGCAGGCTCTTCTTTTAGTCTTTGACTGGAATCCCTCATGTAACCGTCCAGAAACAAAAGAGTGGCTGTGAGTGTCCTGAGAGACAGGTGAAATTTGTGTGCCATGATTATCTGTGAGGAACTGTGTCTGTCCTGAAGAGCCCTTGGGTGAATCACAGTGATCAATGTTTCTCTCTTTTTCTGAGCAAATGAACTCTGTCAGTCTATGTGGACTAGAATAGTTGGATTTCACAGTTGGAGAGATAGATAGTTCCCATATTGGAGGTGTCAAAGACAGACCAGACTGTTTCTCTGTCTCTTTGTGTCTCTGTCTCTTGCGGGATATGACAGGGCTGCTCCGGGGTAGATGGTACTCGTCCTCAGGCTCGAACAGGCCTGAATCCCATTCAGCGACTGGAGCATTATATTCACACACCTTCATTCCACTTTCATCAATACCATCATCATCATCATCAGTGCAGTCAAAGTGATTATCATTTAAATCAGAATTCTCTAACCAGCTAACAAAGCTAGAGCTATTACCCGCATTAGCCTGGAGGATGAGAGAGGACAGAACAGTAAAACACTCAGGGTAGTTTTGATTAAACAGTCTAGTTTATTTTTTAACCATCATCCGAGCTAAGTACAGTCACTGAGAGAAACTACAAATCACTAAAAGAAATAGTTCAACCAGAAATTATCATATACTCACCCGTATGTTGTTCCAAACCTGTATGACTTTCTTACGTCCAAAACAACACTGAACCCCTTTGACTTTCACTGTATGGAGAGAAAAAAACAGTCTATCTTCTTCTGTTTTCCTCAAAAGAAAAAAATTCATACCGGTTTGGAACAACACAAGGATGAGTAAATTATGACAGAACTTTCAATTATTGGGTGAACTATCCCTTTAAGATTCACAACTGCAACAATATGTAGGTTGTAAACTGTAACCGTGTTTCACAATGATCCTGACAGACAGCTGAGAGTAAAGACTCCTTAGACATGTGTTTGATTATGTGATTTTTGATCTAGCAAAGAGATAAAACCAGTAAAACTCACCATATTTCGTTCGAGAAACTAGAAGAAAAGTTGTAGCTTTCGTTTATGATATGATCTGATAAGTCTCCAGCAGTTTCACTTACTCAGTCTGTAAATATTAGCCAATGTACGATTAGAGAAGCAGAACAGTGTCTAACTTGCTTGCTTAGATGACCAATCTAAAAGTTATTAAAGTCATTACACACACTTACTGTAATCACACAAAGTCAGACATATATTTTAAACCTTGATCATAATAAATTATTATTTTTAACAAACACTTTCAGAATGTTCAGAATGGTACAAACACTTTCAGAATGGCATTGGTCTCCTCAAATATATCCAATTCATATAAACGTTAATTAATTTAATTGTACAAGTAACGTTTATGACTAAAATTTTGTTTGGAATCTGAAGCTATCAAAAAAGAAAGATTAATATGCTCAATTAACTATTATTTTATTGTAGCACAGCACACATAGGCTTATAATTTGTGTGCTATAGTAAAATGACATTTTTTATTATATAATATCTTACTATTTTACTCTCATGTTACTATTTACTTTCAGACATACTTTTTTCTAATTACGAGTTATAATTAGAAAAAAAAAATTATGAGAATAAATAGAGAGCATGCATTTATTGTGTGCATAATACCATAACAACCATGAATTCCCGAAGGGTGAGAGTTTAATATTTTATAAGGTTATCCATTGAGTAAACTTTCCTAACAACCTTTTGAATAACATCTCCATCAGTTTGCTTTTGCTGTGATCGTACAGCAGATGGCGCCATGGTAAAGGCCACGAGCTCAGTTCCATAAACAATATGCGCAGACGCAGACGCGTTATGGACAGTCAGATAGCGCACTAGGAGGAAATTCACCCACTGCTGTTGAGACCAGCATATTTTCTTTGGGATATACCGATCGCAGAGCCTTTCGACGAGCTTTTTTTTCCGACGGGGCGAACATGGCGACGCTGGGACCGGAGCCCCGTCCTCATTCCCAGCTGACTTCTGCCGTATTACAGACGAACCTGCCTCTAAACCGGGGCTTGGAGAGAGCTCTGGAGGATGCGGCGAACTCCGGATTTCTGAACCTCAGCACAAGAAAACTGAAAGAATTCCCTCGGACAGCATCTAATTACGACCTAACGGATACGGTTGAAGCAGGTAAAGTGAAGTGATGCTGTATTTATGTTTAGCACGTTGTGTGTGTGTGTGTGTGTGTGTGCGCGCGCGCGCGCGCCTGCTCTGTTAAATTGCGCTTAGAATAGTTTCAAACGGCAGTGCTGCCCAGAATGTGTTTTGTCGCATTTTAACCACTTAAAGATGTTTTGGCTTTTTAAAACTTTCACTGTAGACCTCTAACTCAACAGAAAGCGGTTTGCGTCAGCATGTCCATGAATGTTACAGAACATGTTGTTGCAGACGGGACAGTGTCCTGGGCCGGGATAAAGAGATGTGGGCTACTTCAGTTGTCTCCAGAAGCATTACAAACGCCCAGCACGGAGCTTTGAGGATGCGTGGGACGAAAGTATTGAATATTGTTATTGTCGCGCGGGCGGGACTGTCCATATAAGACTTCCTATGTGAGCAGCTTGTCCACATACTGAGTACTATGGAAATCCCCTTACACTTTTGACAGGGGATTTCTTTTCCATCTTTGGAGATCAGTAGAACACACCAATGCCTATGAAATGAAAATGAATGCATTTGTGGGTTATGTTTTGAAACCAGAACTCTGAGGGCTGATGATCATGGCATCTGCAGGGATTTTTTATTTTATTTTTTGTTTTTTGCTCTTTATTGCACAGCGTGAATAATTAACTTACAACCTAATGCCGTTGTCATTAAGGACACTCTCGTGAGGAAACACTTAAGCTTTCTATCAAAACATCCCGAACTGAAAAGAATGATTTGCTGCTTGTGTGTGCACTGCTTGTTATGGTAATGACAATTTGAGACATGAGGCAGTAGTGTTAGGTCGAATGTGAGTCAATCTTTTGAATCTCTTAAGCAAAATTATTAATTCAGTAGATCTTTCTGTGCATACACCAATGAGTGTTTCTGTACATCAGTGTGTGGTGAATGAGCCACTGAATCGTTCACTTAACCAATTTGACCAAAGCACCGAATCCTTTATAATGGACGTGTTTAAACCCCGAGTCTCGAGTCCTTGCATCGTCCAGCGTCTGTTTTAAAAATGTGGCGCTTAAAATAGCTTAAGTTCATTTTTTTTAATTGTGATTTTTTTTTTCTTTTTTTCCCCATTCTACTGACTGCTTTGCGCATTTTTTAACCTAAAAACGCATTATGCGATACTCGATGGTATCGAGGCAATTCGGTCGGTGCCTAAAAAGTATCGAACTCGATACCCAGCCCTAATTATGTGTGAACCGGCCCTTTATTAAAACACTCAGCGCACTGACAATAGACTCCAGAAAGTCGACTTGAAATAAATCCACACAATCTATTTTCTAACTGCATATTATAGATCTTATTGTGAACAATGCATCCGTAAATGTTATTTTATTTTTTTACTTGACCCACATGTGAAAATGACAGGCTTTTCTTTGGTGACTTTTTGGTGGACTTCTAGTCCACATGTTTCAAAATAAACTGTTAAAGGCACAATATGTAATTTTCACGCTAGAGGGCGCGTATTCAAAATAAACAAAGAGACAAAGGCATAGTTTGATGACACCGTGACTGAGTGTGGAATCATGGGAGTTGTAGCCGATGCAATTTGACAGGACTCGGGCAGAAATCATGTTCATGGATGAGCTAATGATTTATTAACATAGTAGAATGAAGCAGGGTGAGGCTGAAAGCCGTCGAACCGAAACGAGGCCACTGAACGAGCGTGACACACGGCTCGAAAGCTCACAAGTCAGCAAAATATATAACACTGTTCTAGTGGTTTTTGGATATTTTAATAAAAAAATCTTACATATTGTGCCTTTAACGAGTCAGTGGATGGTAATGAACAAGAATGATTCACTCACTGAAAAGATTCGGTCCAGTAGTCGTCATAATGAACGGCTGCGGGAAAAGCCAAGATGACAGTTCGGAATGTTCAGTGAGCGGGAGATCTGCTTCCGTTCCCTGTGAATTCCTCCGCACTCCCCTCAGCTTGGAGGCAGGAGAGCAGCTAAAATAGGAAACAGGAAAGGGCAGACCATGGAAATGGCAAATTCCTAGCATTCTTAAATGGTCGTCTGAAGTACTTTAATGCAGAAAATTACACATCCAGTCCATTGTGATATTTGGAACGTAAGTGTTATTAAGTGACTAAAGAGTGACCATTTGAACTGCTCATGGTGTCACAGCTGACACAGATGAAGTCATCCTTACCATGAATAAAGTTACCACAAGATATATTTACTCATCTCTGCATTGTCGACCTTATGGTTATTTTAGATGTAATTCAAAGGGCCCTAAGAAGACTCGAGACTTCAGTAGGAGTTGGTTACGATCCATTCAGGTGTTCTGTGCCTGCTCCACAGCTGATTTTAGCTCATATTTCTCCCCACAGTAGCCTTAGATTCCTCAGAAGTTGTCAGTGTTTTTTTTCTACCGACTCAAGATATTTCAAGCAGGGACATGTTGTCCTCCCAAACACACTGTCTTTGTTGCACTCTCTCCCATTTCACAGGAAGAAAATGTAACAGAGTTTCACAGCTAGTGTTAGGTATTTTTCAATGCTAATAAACCCAGTGTGTAGTGTTTTTTGTTTTGTTTTTGTTTTTATGGCCTTGAGCTCTCTGTCCTTTGGGTAGAGATGCCCTGTTTATGTCGCTTCAGTCTTCACCATATACATCAACACTGTATATAATGAAGTGTCAAAATTAGAAGAAATGTCTGATATGTAGCAAAAGTGTAATGGGGAACTAGGGTGTTTTTGATTTGAGTCATTATTTCAGGAGGAGTTTCTATAAAATTCCAACACAACTGGAAGTGAAAGCACAAAGTTGAATAGCTGTTTTAATTACACCGTAGTATGCGGTAGTATGTTTAATTGTGCATGCTCATTTTTCTCTATCCTTAAGTTCATCTTTAAAAACACTAATAATTTAATAACACTGTTAAGCGTAATATTTAGCAAATCTCAAAATGAATATCCAATGTCATACTGTAAAATATAATGTTGTGGTATCTGTATTTTTAGCTGTAGCTAAATGACTGATTTTAAGTTTTGTGTGTATTTGGACAAACCGGGATAAATATACACTACCTTTAAAAGTTTGGGATCAGTAAGATTTGTAAGACTTAAGGAAGAAAATTAATTATTTTTTTCACCAAGGCTGCCTTAAATTGATCAAAAGTGACAGTTAAGACATTTATAATGTTACAGAAGATCTATATTTCAAATAAATGCTGTTCTTTTGAAATGTTCATTCCTTAAAGAATCCTGAAAGAAATGTTTTACTGTTTCCACAAAAATCTTAAGCAATTCAATTTTAAGCATCAAATCAGTATACTAGAATGATTGCTGAATAATAGATACTGAAGACTGGAGATTCAATTATAGTTATTTTTGATTGTAAAACTATTTCATAATATTCCTGTTTTTACTGGAATATTGTTGCA